TATAAAATAAACCGCGACTCCCCACGCAGTCGATTGCCAACAAGCTCCCAGCGGCAGGCGACACACTCGACGAAACGTGCCACAACCCGAGGAGCGACTCTCTCGCACAACCTCCGATTAGCACGGGCGGCTACACGAGGCGTGAAAGAAGTTAAATGTACGCACACAGCAGGAGAGCTGTACACACAGCGCGCCAAGCCGCGGGAACCAAAAAAAACATTCTACGCTGCAAGCAGAACCTTCTAAGATTGCGTAAGAGCGGCCTGTGGAAATGACCCCTCGATTTCCTGTAATCCCCCACAGCACAGCCACACAATGCCGCCGCACGGGGGGGGTGGTGGTGGTGGTGGTGGGCACTGCTGACTTCACACAAAGTTCTGGACAATTCTATTCCTCGTGAATTCCAAGGCGAGGACGCCAAGTGGAAAATAGATGGCGAAATGTGAATTCGGCGCTTTGTTATTTACAGAACGCCAACGCGCACAAGAGCATCTTGCCTTAGCCCTGAGTTTTGCAAACCATTGCAGTGTCAAAAATCGTCGCCTTAATGTTGAGTCTCATTATTGTTTCCTCGCCCCCGCCCCCCTCCCCACGGAACCCCGATTAAGTACGGTGTGAAAGAAGTTCAACACACACACAGTTACCCAATCTCCCCCCCCCCCACACACACATTCACACGATCACACATAGCCGTCGTCGTCATCGTTGCATCACAGCGGTTTCTTGTGGCTCAACCCCTTGAACGGTACTCTGTGTCCACCACATCAGTGACGTGAAATGTAGCCCGAGCTCACTCACACTGACGCAACGTTCAACTCCGGCGTATGGGTGAAGGGAAACCCACATAACCCCCCACACAACCCCCCACACAAAGTTCTGGACAATTCTATTCCTCGTGAATTCCAAGGCGAGGGCACTGAACGATTAATCGATTTCAAATCGAAATCGCAATTTGAAACAATGCGATTAACAAATCGCAAAGGCTGCGAATTTTGTTTTTGCGATTTGAAAAAAAGTCCTATTACTTTCTTATTGGGAATTGTTTTATTTGTTATTATTCCAACTTTATTTATTTAACTTAACAATTATTCTACGTTTGATTGTTCTATTTCAATTAAAACATTTTTTATAAATACATTTTGGAAGCAATTAATGTATTTTAAGTTATCATCCTTGCGTTAGAATATATAGGGCAGTTCATATTTTGATGGTATCACGTGGTAATGCGCCATCACGTGTTTTTAATCTATTTCACAGCGAAAATTGAACTGAAGCTTGACTTTAAAAAATTGAATCGCAAATCAAATCGCAATCATCTGTCAGAACAATCGCAATTAGAAATTTCCCCCCAAATCGTTCAGCCCTACAGCCCACGAGTGCTTGAGGGGGCACGGATTTGCGCACTGCACTTCCAATCCAGAACCCGTCGTCGGTTCGATCCCCCGTAGCGGCAATGGGTGCAAGTTCCTTAAATCCGAACTGCTGAACTGAACTTTGTTTTATTTCACCAGGTTCAAGGCGCACCGAGCTTCTGCGTAGCTTTTTTTTTCAGACGCGACCTCGCTATGACACAGGATGATAGCTCAACGGAGTGGCTTATCGACACGAAGCAGCCGACTACTCTTAAACGCGTGGATGTTGATTCTAAACGTGGAGGAGGGGGAAACCGGACAAAAATCCACGCGACCACGGGGAGAGAGAGAGAGGGAGACACGTAAACTCCAAATATACATCAGCAGGCATCGTCAGGGTCGGGATCGAACCCACGACTTCCTGCATACCAGGTGAGGTAGTTAACATCTCCTAGCCACCGTGATGATGATGATGAGAGAGAGACACGCAAACTCCAAATATACAGCAGCAGGCGTCGTCAGGGTCGGGATCGAACCCACGACTTCCTGTATACCAGGCGTGGTAGTTCACATCTCCTAGCCACCGTGATGATGATGAGAGAGAGACACGCAAACTCCAAATATACAGCAGCAGGCATCGTCAGGGTCGGGATCGAACCCACGACTTCCTGCATACCAGGCGAGGTAGTTAACATCTCCTAGCCACCGTGATGATGATGATGATGAGAGAGACACGCAAACTCCAAATATATAGCAGCAGGCATCGTCAGGGTCGGGATCAAACCCACGACTTCCTGCATACCAGGCGAGGTAGTCTGTATACACACGAATGACCTCCCACAACAGGGAACTCAAGGAGAGACCAAGGTACGAGGTACCTTGGTCTACTCTTCCACTGCTTGCCAGGCGCAATGCAAGAAGAGGTTGCGAGTGCCCACACTTCATCCCACCATTGCACGTGACATGTGTTGTGGCACGCCGGAGGCAATCGTTGGGAGTTTTGTTGTCCGAGTGCCAGCAGCAGTCACGTGAGGTTCTTTCACACCCCCCCCCCCCAAACCAACAAGTGATGGTGGCGATACAAGAGCACAGTAGTGCTGTATGGACTCCACTGCATGTCGAACTTCTTTCGCACCGTACGTGGCCAACCGCGCTCAACGGAGGTGCGGGCGGAGGGAACTTTAAAACACAGCCAGTTCGAAAGAACCGAGCTTTCAATCCGGATGATTTAAATGTGCACGGTGATAACAATAACCGCGGGACAGTGCAGTCACGTGTGAGTGTGTGTGTGGTATGCATGAGGGGAGCGGTGGCGTAGTGGTTAGCGCTACGCTGCGCCACGAAACCTGGCGTCCCGGGTTCGATTCCCGCTCACGGCCAACACCGGTGACGATTACCTGAACCGGTCCCGGGCCTCCCGTAGGTCGACTCGGCCTCAAATGAGTACCTGGTGCGGTGTGTAGTAAACATCGCCGCCGGGGAGATAAAGGTGTCAAGGCGTGGTGCTGGGCCACCCACGCCCTCGTGTGCCGTGCCAGCCTTCACAGGTGCTACTCGCTAACAGCACTTGCCCCTACAGTCCGTTAAGGCTATGCGGGGGATCTTTGTCTCTGTGGTGTGCACGTCCCGGATCACCTTCATGATAATCCAGACGCGACTTGCCCCTCTCTCTCTCTCGCTGATGTTGACAAAGTAGCGCGTGCGGCAGTAACCCCCACAACCTCACAATTGAATTCCACCACGCGAGAACCCGGCTCCGTCGTTCACCCCCTGGTGAGCAAACGGCGTTGAGACTCCCACCACCACCACCCCCCCGTTGTCTCCACTTTCACAAAAGGGGGTGAACTTGTGTTGAGTCCATCGACGGCCGATTTGCTTTCCACCCCGGTTAGTATAAAGCAGCAGCATCAGCAGCTTTTGTTTAAGCAAAAAAACAACGTAAGTTTGTTTCATTTACATTCACTAGATAGTGAACATATTGTGTCCATCAGCCGGATGACTTTCCACTCCAAAGCGGTAGAAAAGCAGCATCAGCAGCATTTGTTAGGCAGGAAAAAACACACTGGACACAAGTTTCAAACTTCTGCATCTCATCAGCAGAGTCAACCTTTACTCACCCAATACAATTCTATCGCATGGCCAAATCGTATTGGCAGCACTCACGCATGCAAAAAACCCACTAATTATACGGGCCTCCAGCCCTATTAAAGGCAAACAGGGATATACCGTCCACTCAAATGTGTGAAAAAAGTTTTTTTTGAATAAACATCTGACATCCGTCATCAAATTGAAATAACACCGGGATTTGTTTGCGTCACCAAGTTGGATAAATAACTCAACTTACTGGAGTTCAAATCTGCAATGAGTGTCATTTGAGCTACTAAAATCGCCCCCCCCACCCCCCCGTTTCGGAAGTACTGTACTTGTGTTTATCGGCCACAGCTTGATGAGAATTTTTGTTTGTAAACGGAATGGGAATTCGTCAAGCATTTAGCTCGTCCTAAATTCACTCGTGCGACAGCATTTAAAGGGCCCAAGCTGTTTCTATCCTGCAGACAGAGTGCAGACTTGACGTGGCAACGTGGATCGCCATGCGCACCGGTCACCAAACGGTATCACAGTGGCAGCATCCGAAAATCCATCAATCACCACCAAGTCATAAAATCACCACATCACTGGAGCAGCAGCAACATTACCACCACCAACCAACCGCTACTACAATCATCATCAGCAGCGGCAGCTCTCCAGCACCGATCTAGGCATCAGCATCATCACCAACACGCCCTACAATCACCGCCACCACCACCACATAATATAGCAGCAGCATCACCACCACTACTACCATCATCATCATCTCTCCAGCACCAATCTAGGCATCTGCATCACCACCACCACGTAATACAACCACCAACTACTTAATTGTAGCAGCATCACCACCACTACTACCATCATCATCTCTCCAGCACCAATCTAGCAGGCATCACCACCACCACCACCACGTAATACAACCACATCATTGTAGCAGCAGCATCATCACCACCACCACTACTAACATCATCATCTCTCCAGCACCAATCTAGCAGGCATCACCACCACCACGTAATACAACCACCAACTACTTAATTGTAGCAGCATCACCACCACTACTACCATCATCATCTCTCCAGCACCAATCTAGCAGACATCACCACCACCACGTAATACAACCACTAACTACATCATTGTAGCAGCAGCAGCATCATCACCACTACCACTAACATCATCATCTCTCCAGCACCAATCTAGCAGACATCACCACCACCACCACGTAATACAACCACCAACTACATCATTGTAGCAGCAGCATCATCACCACTACCACTAACATCATCATCATCATCTCTCCAGCACCAATCTAGCAGACATCACCACCACCACGTAAGACAACCACCAACTACATCATTGTAGCATCACCACCACCACAAATATCATCTCTCCAGCACCAATCTAGCAGGCATCACCACCACCACGTAATACAACCACCAACTACATCATTGTAGCAGCAGCATCATCACCACCACCACCACTACTAACAACATCATCATCATCTCTCTAGCACCAATCTAGCAGGCACCACCACCCACCACCACCACCACGTCTCTCGCTCACCCAGCCGCCGTTCTGCTGGATCCAATCGCGCAGCTCCTCGTCCAAGTAGTTGGCCATCCACTGCGCGATGCCGTCCACCAGGAAGCCCATCTCCTTACCGGCGCACTCGGCGCAGAGCGCGGCGCCGAAGGCGAGGAAGGCGACCACGCGGCCCCAGTTAACCCCGTCGCGGAACAGCTCGGCGGTCACCTCGGCGAAGCGCTGCTCGGCGCAGCCCTGCGACACGTGCAGCTGCTGCGACAGGTCGGAGAACGAGGCGCGATAGCGGCTCTCGAACTCGTCGCCCGCGGCTCGCAGGACGCGGAGCAGCTGCGCCGTGGACTGCGACGATGACGACGACGGAGGAGGAGGAGGAGAAGACGACGGTGGTGGCGGCGATGGGCCGCTCTGGCCGTAGCCGCGCTGCGTCAGCTTGTATCGGATGAAGTCGTTGACGATTTCGCGGCTGTTGTATGGGTCCGACATGGTTGACGCGCGTTTTTGTCTCGCTCGCTCTGTCTGTCTGTCTCTCTCTCTCGTCTGCCTGTGTGGTGGCTGTCTCGCGCGCCCACCGCCGCCGCCGCCGCCCCGCCTTTCACGCAGACATCGACAAGTTTCCTCCACCCGCTGCTGCCACTGCCGCTGCTGCTGCTACGTAGTTGACGCACACCGACATTGTCTGCAAGAGCCTTGCTGGATGCCAAGCACAGGCTTATATATTGCTCCGCCCCCTCTCCCCCCCCATGCAGTAGTACCGCCCCTTCTCATGACCACGCCCTTCTCCTGATAACTCCGCCTCTCCACCCTTGTTAGCCACGCTCCCTCGGGTCTCCCGACAGATAGCCACGCCCCGCCATTTACAGCGCCCGTTTCAACCGCTAAGTGGCGTTGACCGTCATCACGGCTATTGTGCCATGCTAAGGTGCACGTTGAGACCACGTGTAGTGTCGAAGGCTCGCTGGCCGGACGCCACGGGACAGACCCAGACTGCCATGGGTTGACTGAGATGACTGGCAGATTGCACCACCAAGTGATTCGCCACCCATGCCAAAATGATAATAATAATCAGACATTTCGATTTAAAGCTTTCGTGACTGCAATGATTCATCTTCTTTGGTTCTTTCGGTAAAGTCACGCAGAATGAGAATAAAACAAAAAATTGATAAAATAAAATAACACAATAATATTCTCACGACGTTTCACTCCAGCGCTGTCCTACCAGACAATCTCGTCTCTTCACCTGATGAAGGCCGCTTGTGTTGTGGCCGAAACGTCGTGAGAATATTATTGTGTTATTTTATCAATGTATTGTTTTATTCTCCTTCTGCGTGACTTTACCGAAAGAACCAAAGAAGAATAATCAGACAATTCGTTTCCTGCACATAAACGTCACCCTATATATAAAAAAAGTATTATTTACACAACCTATTGGTCCGACGGCCTTCTGTGATTACATATCAGCAACATTGCTTCAGCACAAGCAGTGTATCAGACTTGCCTGAATTATAGCTGATACAATACTCCTCCCATCACACTGCACGTGTGTGTGTGTGGTAACATCGTATCTCGCCAAATGCTATCGTTGCATTGTTTATGGGGGAAAGAGTTTGCGCTTTAACGCGAGTGTTTATAGCGCATCAAGAGCGGCCATAACGACACCCATTCAGTTTAGCACGTAAGTGTGGGCTTTCGTTACCAATATTATGCATATAAACAATGGAAATTAGAATAGGTTTTAACCGTTTCTGGGAGTAAAACAGGTGTTAAGATGTTCAAACATCAACCAGAAGCCGTACTTGAAGCAGGGGCGGAGCCAGGATTTTCAGCCCGGGGTGACATTCAACAAATGTTAACTTCAAGAATGATTAGAGAGTCAGGCTGTTGAACTAGACGCCATCGGTTTGACGACACATTCTGACAATGCAGTTGCACGGAGTCCGCCAGACCGAGTGTCGTACACTTACACGCAGAATGTTTCAGATTTTCGATTTTTTTTCGGGAGTGACAATCGTCTAACCTGTCACCCCCCTTGGCTCCGCCCCTGCATACTTGCGGTGAACATGCAAACAAAAACACGTCATATATTGCATTGTCTTTGAAACTAATTGGCCTACGCGAGAGACAATCTACATTAGGGCCTAGTCTCACCAGTGTCAGACCAGAGAATGCCCAAAGACGAACAGTCCAAAGTCAAAGCTTTTTACTACATGTTCACCACACAAGTGTGTGTGGTGAGAATGTAGACTTCATTCCTTGCAAAAGGTAGCTGTTTGGGGGTTGACCATCTAAGCACCTGTTTTATTGCCAGAAAGGGTAAAACGTATGATTATTTTTTTATTCTTTGATACTGGCAGAAAATAATCATGATAGAGCTGCTCACGCCGAGCTATGAATGCGCTGATATAGAGGCATTGTCTTTGTACTGTTCGCCCTCTGGCGTTCTCTGGGTTGTCACAGGTGAGACTAGGCCGTAATGAACATTGTCTCTCGTGTAGGCCAATCACTTTCAAGACAATGCGTATCTTATCAGAGCATGTTTGTTTGCATGTTCACCATAAGTATGCGTGGTTAATGCAGCACATGATTCCTGAACACATGTTTTATTCCCAGAAAGGGTAAAACCTATTATCAGTTCTTTCGGTAAAGTCACGTTGAAAGGGAAACAATAAAATAATAAAATATATAAAACAATAAAATTCTCACGACGGTTATACATACTTTATTATTTTATTGTTTCCCTTCAACGTGACTTTACCGAAAGAACCAAGAATATGAATCACTGCAGTCACGAAAACTTTAAATCAAAATCTATTCTCAGTTTTCAATATTATCTACAATCGAGGTTTAGGGTTCAATCGCGTAAATATACACCCATGCATTATCCCCTACTCCCATTCATGTCATTCACACGTGTTCTGCATGTCCCCTTAACGCTTGTGTCAGTCGACTGCTGGATGAGAACCTCCCTACGGCCGTGACGGTAATTGGGTCTTATATGCCCCATACTGGAACCGCGCTGGTCAATGCGTGTAAGGGGCCGTCCATAAATCACGTCACGCACCTAGGGGGGGAGGGGAGGTCAGACATTTGTGACGATGTGTGACGACGGTGTGTTTTCTCCTACAACATCAGAGTGCAGCGCCACATTAAATACGCACTACAATGACAATAATTTTCGATTTAAAGCTTTCGTGACTTTATTATTTTATTTCTATTCTACGTGACTTTACCGAAAGAACCAAGAAGATGGTACAATGACAATAGTTTAAAGCGATTTGAAGCATGCTTTATATATTTATTTATTTGGGGGGGGCAGAGCTTTGTGACGTCATATTTGAGTGGGGGGGGTCTGACTTTTTGTGACGTCGGGTGACGTCATTTATGGACGTTGTTGTCAGAACATCGTTGTGCATTGTCAGAGCATCGCTGCGCGTGCTTGCACTGCCCTCTGCTGACTACGCAGCCATTTCTTCCAGTTGGCTGCGCCCGTTGTCGAGTACCGCTCAGCATCGCTTCCCCTGCAGCATAACAAAAGGCGGCTTAACTTAGCCCCCCCACCCACGGCCCTTCCTGGCTCCTCCCCCACCCCCCTTAATCTGTATATAATCTCGGGTGTCTTAGAGCTCTCTTCACTTATCATTCATTCTGTCGCGGTTTAGGCCGCCTCTTGACGCTGATTGGCTTCCTTCAACAATTAACATGATTTATCATTAATTTAGAATTGATACATCAATTTTGCTTTTCTCCTCGAAACGTCGTGAGAATATTATTGTGTTATTTTATTTTATCAATTTATTACTTTATTATCATTCTACGTGACTTTACCGAAAAAACCAAAGAAGAGCAATTTTGCTGTGACGGTTTCCACCTGAAGACCGGAAGCTTGTGTTGCCTCCGAAACGTCGTGATTTAATTTAGTTGTTTTCATTTATTTTATTTTACCTACGTGACTTTACCGAATAAACCAAAGAGTACGTCCCGGTATCTGTAACAGGGATTAAATGAATCCGTGACGGTATGAATAATAAATTATGTTAATTGTTGAAGGAAGGCAATCAGCGTCAAGAGACGGCCTCACCCGCGACAGAATTAATGATAAATTATGTTAATTGTTGAAGGAAGCCAATCAGCATCTAGCGGCGGCCTCACCCGCAACAAATTAATGATAAATTATGTTAATTGTTGAAGAAAGCCAATTAGCGTCAAGAGGCGGCCTAAACCGCGACAGAATGAATAAATTATGTTAATGTTGAAGGAAGCCAATCAACGTCAAGAGGCGACCAAACCCGCGTCAGAATTAATGATAAATTATGTTAATGTTGAAGGAAGCCAATCAGCGTCAAGAGGCGGTCTAACCCGCGACAAATTGATTAATAAATTATGTTAATGTTGGTGGAAGCCGATCAGCGTCTTGAGGCGGCCTCACCCGCGACAGAATTAATGATGAATTATGTTAATTGTTGAAGGAAGCCAATCAGCGTCAAGAGGCGGCCGAACCCGCAACAGAATTAAGAATAAATTATGTTAATTTTTGAAGGAAGCCAATCAGCGTTAAGGGGCGGCCTAATCCGCGGCAGAATTATTAATAAATTATGTTAATGTTGGTATAAGCCGATCAGCGTCTCGAGGCGGCCTATCATTCTGTCGTTTCAGTTTCATTTGGTTTAACACGTAGGCTTTCGCGACCAATATTATTCATAATAAAGGTTTTTGGGTTAGATCGCGTTTATTTATAAATGTGTCGTAACCCTCCACCACCCGACACGGCCAATCAGCAAAGAAAAGTGTCACGTTGACAAAAGACAAATAATTCACTACTTCAGCCCACCGGTGTGTTGAAGAGTTAATCCACATTTACAGTTTGAGTACGACGTTTCGCTGGTAAATACTTCCAGCATCATCGGGCAATTCGCCATTCTGGGCAATTCGCCATTCTGGCGAATTGCCCGATGATGCTGGAAGTATTTACCAGCGAAACGTCGTACTCAAACTGTAAATGTGGATTAACTCTTCAACACACCGGTGGGCTGAAGTAGTGAATTATTTGTCTTTTGTCAACGTGACACTTTTCTTTGCTGATTGGCCGTGTCGGGTGGTGGAGGGTTACGACACATTTATAAATAAACGCGATCTAACCCAAAAACCTTTATTATGAATCAGTTTCATTTATTTGGTATAGCCCTGTGAGCCAATCGGCTCTTGATACGGGTGCAACCGCAACAAACAAAAAAACATGAACAAGAAAACATATTCTTGGTTCTTTCGGTAAAGTCACGTAGAAGAGAAACAATAAAATGATAAAAATATAAAACATCTTAAAGTGACTATGTGACTATGTCGTGCGATTCATTCTCATTGCACACTTTTATGGAACTTTCCGTGTTATCTGTTAATAGTCTTTCAAATCTTTGACGCTTTAATATCTCCGGATGTACGAAGCTGAACGAGCTGTAATTTTCTACACAGACTCGCCTCGCGTGACGATTCAAGATTTCGATTTAAAGCACCGGTCCAGGTCCCGTCCGTCGTTTTTTTTAAAGTAAATGTTACTGATTAATAATCGTACATTTAAAAAAAAATAATCGTACATTTTACTTATTAATAATCATACATTTTAATCATTAATCATAATTGATTTTGCTTATTAATAATCCTACATTTTAATAATCGTACATTTTTTACGAATCAATCGTATATTTTACTAATTCATAATC